ACTCCCTCCCACTTCCCGCCCTCCTCAGAACCCCCAACCCTCCCCCCCACTCCTTCTCCCCTGACTGCCCCCTCCTGGGACCCCTGCCCCTAACTGCTCCCCAGGACTCCACCCCCTACCTAAGCCTCCCTGCTCCTTGTCCCCTGACTGCCCCCTCCTGAGACCTTCCCCCCCATCCTAACTGGCCCCCTAGGACCCTACCCCCTACCCGTACCCTGACTGCCCCAACCCTTATCCACACCTCCACCCCCAGACAGACCCCTGGGACTCCCATGCCCCATCCAACCACTCCCCACCCCCTGACAGCCCCCCCAGAACTCCCGACCCATCTAAACCCCTCTGCTCCCTGTCCCCTGACTGCCCCCTCCTGGGACCCCTGCTCCTAACTGCCCTCCAGAACCCCAACCCCTACCTAAGCCTCCCTGTTCCTTGTCCCCTAACTGCCCCCTCCTGAGATCCCCCCACCCTAACTGCCCCCCTAGGACCCTACCCCCTACCTGTACCCTGACTGCCCAAAACCTTACACCCCCAACCCCTAGACAGCCCCCCCCGAACTCCCGACCCATCCAACCCTACTCCCTGTCTCTTGACTGCCGCCTCCAGAACCTCCCTTCCCCTTCTCCGACCCCCTGACCCCCTTACCGTGCCACTCAGAACAGAGTGCTGCAGAGCAGCGCGCTCGGCAGCAGGGGAGGGGGGAGCAGGGGGAGGAGCTCCAGACTGCCGGAGGCCCGAGGCGAACGGCCGGCCGGCGATCTGCGAATGCAGGGAGGGGGAGGGAGGGAGAGAGAGGAGGGGCGTGGTCTCAAGTTGCAGGGGAGAGGATGGGGAAGTGGAGAAGGGGCTCTGGCTGTCAAAGCCCCGTGCGAGTGGCACGATCCGGCCGGCTGCCCTATCAGCCACGCGCTCTCTGCATTGGGGGGAAATCCGGACATTTACAAATTCCCCCCGGATGCTGTTTTTAACTCAAAAAAGCCGGACATGTCCAGCAGAATCCGGACGAATGGTAACCCTACTAATAAGGGACTGGCCCCTAGAGAGCAGAGCTACTAGTTGCAGTTGCAGCTGAAGCTTAATCATTTTAGTAGGTGCCATGTGTTTTACTTAACAAAATCCCCAGTTCCTTTTTCTTTTCATTTATTATAACTGGTTTTGTATTATAGTAACGCCAACAGTCCTCAACTGAGATTGGACCCCTTTTTATTACGTACCGTCACACACATTGTAAGATGCAGCCCCTGCCCTTGTTAGACAAGCCAGAGAAAGGCACTCTTACTGTTATCCCCATTTTACAGATGGAGAACAGAGGCCCAGAGAGACTGAGTAACTTGCACAAGGCCACACAGGGAGCCTGGTGGTGAAGCCAGGACTTCAACTCAGATCTCCTGCGGCCTAGTTTGGTTCCTTAACCACAAGACCATCCTTCCTCTCCTACTTGATTTGTAAAGCTTATTTCTTCACTGATTTAGTTACTACTTTATTATACTCTGTGCAGCTTTTCAAAGCCCGAGTGTAAAGTTAGCTCAGTGATTTCTCGGTTTGGTGCCTGCTTTCAGCATCACAAAATGTCTGTCTCTAATTGTTTTGTGGGGGGAAAAAAACAAAACAAGCTGCCCTCTATTGTTGTAAGAACAAAGTAACATTGACTGAGATTTTAAAAAATAAGGGGCTGCTGGGTACTCAGAGTCTCTGAAAAAATCAAATCCATGTTTAGGCACTTAGGTAAGTGGCCTTTACTCTTAGGCATCTCTGACACACGAGGGCCATACCCGGCCCCACATCAGCTCTGCATTGCGTCATTGGCTGATCCAGACCTGGAACAATACGGGGGTCATTGGCTAAAGGGCAATTGCGCTAATGGCTCCTTCACCAAATCTGCTCCCCGAGGTGGGCACAAGGGAGTAGTTGGGTAAACAAGGGGCATGTCTTGGTCATCTCTGTGCCCCAGTGAGCCCCAGCTGCCATAGATCAAAGTGTGGAAATGTGTGCGGGGTCATTTTAAGCCACCTTTGTGTCTCACCCACCCTCCCTGCAGTGAGTTGTGCCAAGTGCTCTTTGGCAAGCGCTGAAGATAGGGTGTCGAGGTGTCCGGTTGTTGATCGGAAAGTCTGGTCAAAAAGGGGACCCGACAGTGTCCGGTCAGATCTACTGACCAGACACCCAAAGTCTGGTTACTGCAGGCAGGGAGGCACCGAGTCATCAACCGTGCCAGCCCCTACTCACCCAGGGCCGCCTCCTACCTGTGTCAGGCAGCTGCAGCTCCCAGCCCCGGCTCTGCAGGCAAGTCCCTCCTGACCCACACGCGAGAGGGGGGAAGAGGAGAAGAGCAACGAGCGACAGGGGGAGGGGGAAAGAGGAGCGAAAGGAGGGGGGTCCTCAGGAGGAAAGGGTGGGACAGAGGCAAGGCCGCAGGGGGACAAGGCGGGGCAGGGAAGGTTCCAACACTCCTGCTGGAGGGTCCGGTTTTTATATATTACAAAGTTGGCAACCCTAGCTGAAGATCGGGGCCATAATCTAGAATTCACTTAGTTCTTTCTTTTTATTATGCACTTCTATTGACATCACATGTTATGTAATTTTCTAGCATGAGTTTCTCATCTTCAAATTAGACAACATCGTTATGGGGTTAGTCATGTAAGAAAAAAAGGAGTGGAAATTCACTGAGGCAGGTGAGACTATAACTGGGCAAGTAAGCAGTTGACCTTGTATCCTAAGCACAGAAAATGTAGCTCTTTCATATGAGTCTTAAGGTCTTATTCTGATCTTACAGTGGTGTAACTTCAGTGGAGCAGCTCATCACATACGCAATTGTGGAAGTGAGATCACAATCAGGTCCCAGCTCTTAGTATAATTGTTGAGAAAAGTATTTTCTGCTCCTGTCCTGCATGTAAATTAGTTGTGTCATGGAAGACTGTCTATGTAACTAAATGCAGGACTGGTCCCTTAAATGACAATAAGAATAGAAACTCCAGTTTTTGACAAGCCAAATACTGGCTTCAGGATAGAAGAAATATATTGAATTACCAGATATCTCTAGTGCTAAAAGGACTGTCATTCTTAATTCCTTTGGTCTGGAAAAAATACTTCAATTCACAATTAAATTATGCTTTTAAAATCAAATTAAATAGGAAATTCTTGACCATATGTAATTTGTTACTTTTAAGAATATGGAAGTATACAATTTATTAACAGAACAGATTTTTGTATCTGGTTTCCAGAGATCATATATTAAATATAACACAATTAAGGGAGTTTTCAGTTGAAGATTCATCTGGTTAGAGTATATACTCTCCTGCTGTTGAGGAAATCTAAGGGATGATGTTTACATTTAGTTTAAATTCTTCAAAGATAACACACACAATAACTTCAACCCTACATTATTGACAATCAGAGGATATTATCTCATATTGAAGGAAATTACCAAGGCCAAAAATTACAATACCCGGAGGGTCCATGACGCCTCCACATCTGCACAAGAAAGTTCACTGTTTTTTTAAAGGTTCAAAGCCTGCTTGCATTGCTTGCGTGAGTAGACCTATTGAAGTCAAGTGTGTAAATCAAATTGCATGAGTGACGAAGCAGGATTTGACTCTAAGTACATTGATTATAGGACTGCTTTTTCAACACATCTACTCCATAACTCTTAGATGGAAGCAGTATCAGCCTGATACCTTCCATGAGTTGAAATGAGAAAAAACAAAAACAAAATAAAAACCAACTGCCCTAAAAACGAAGATTTAATGACACATCTTGGTATCTAATATTCATTACGTATGTTTTTAAACAAGTATCTTCACACAATAATTTTGCACCTTACTCCACTGACACTGAGGGTCTAATAGTTCACACTGAAGTCTCCAAAAATGTAATTCATGTCAGTCCTGTTTAATCTTAAATTGACCATTTGTCTGTCTGTCTCTCTCTGCTCCTCTTCTGCAGAGTTTGAGGATATTCTCTTGTGTAGCCTAAGAGACAAAAGCACTTTCAAGTTCTTTGCTTTGTCTGAAAATTTTAAATTTATTGGTCCTTTTCCTCTACATGCCATGTGCTACTTAAAGGAAGACTAATTTTCATGTCCTTACTGTAGTATATTTCGCTGTCAGGAGCAAATTTTTTTTTTACAAGCTAGTGTGTTTTAGCATGTGCTATTCCTATATTATCTATTCCTAAGATTATTTCTTGCAGTCAGAACTCCAAACATTTTCATTCCAATAATATTTTTTGTAATAAGTTACTATTTTCTACCGAGATTTGCATTGTATAGATGTGACAAAAATGGCTGCTAACAAATCTGAATTAAACCTGAATTTAGACTATAATGACAATTAGTACAAAAGGACACATTTTTAGGAGCATGTCTGCCTTTTTTTTAAGACATCTTTCAGCTTCATCCCAAGGCCATATGAGTTCTTATTCATTGAAGAAAACATGGGATTGTGTTTTACACATTCTTAAATACCAGCAGGCTCAGTTATTCTCACATGTTCACTAAGAATCTGATACAAAGCCCACTGAAGTCACTTGGAGTCTTTCCACTAACTGCAGTGGGTTTTGAATCAGGCCATAAACCTAGAAGTTGAAACGGGCTTTCATTTTCTTTTAATTTTTCTTGACCCTTTTCTGATTCCCCAAAGAGCTTTCATTATGGCATAAAGTTGTTCTTCATGCCTAATCATGTCCACTGTAATTCATTCCAAACTGTGTATTAAAGCCAAAAGCAGCACTGTGGGAAAATACTGTTTCCCTGCCTTGGGTTTCATTTGTTGTGAAATGTTTCATTTAAAATGGGTGGTGACGTTTCTCTCATCTTGCTCCTGCATTCTGCAACCAGGCCTGACACTCATGTAGACATGTAATCATCATCCAGGTAACTAAGTAACCCAGGGTATTTAAGAAGGTGTAACTATAACCTGTTCTTACTTTTACACTTGGATGGGTACCATACAGGCTGGTCTGTGGTAGTGCTGAGCTACTAAAGAAAGATCTATAGAATTTCAGACATGTGTTTTGGAAAGTGTGCTAGGTGCATTGGGTACAAGTTGCTCATTCTTGCCTTCCTCTGCATTGTGGCTAACATCTTGCTTTACTTTCCCAATGGTGAAACAAGATTCGCTTCAGAACATCGGCTTAGCAAGTATGTGGCATGCCTTCATGGAATTATAGGAGGAGGGATTTTGGTAAGTAACTAAAGCTAGCGTGTTTTAATTTGTTTTCTTACTAGGAACATTAAGATTAAAGATTCATATTTCTCTGTCAGTTGTAGGATTTTTGTCTGACTGCTTTTTTAGCAAGTCTTTACACCTCTGTAATTTTATAGCATATATGTGATGTCATATAAATTATTACTATTAATCACACTATTAATCTGCCATCTTGTATGATTTAAATCTCGGGAGCATTCCCAGTTTGTATGACAAAGAAATGCAAAATAAGGTCCTGCTCCTTCAGTGGGACTACTCATGTGAGTAAAGTTACACACATGTGTAAATGTTGGCAGGTTTGGGCCCTGGGTTTGTATTGTATTTTATAAAAGTAGTTTACTATTAATCTATTCTCCTTTTTAAAATGATTATATTTGATTAAAAGTAGTAACTATTTCTTCAAATGTGCCTAAGACTTCTGGAAGGCATTGGCTGCTGCCATGTCCTAGGTGTTTATTCAGGGAAATTCAACAGTTGTTTATTGTCACACCAGTGTGTTAGAAAAAACAATGAGGAGTCCTTGTGGCACCTTAGAGACTAACAAATTTATTTGGGCCTAAGCTATTGTGGGCTATTACCCACTTCATCAGATGCATGGAGTGGAAAATACAATAGGGAGGTATAAATATACAGCACATGAAAAGATGGGAGTTGCCTTACCAAGTGTGTTAGAGAAATAGGCAAGGAGGATATACTGCTGTTTCTGAAGTACTGAAACTTTCACTACAGGGCAGCAGATGGTTAATTTAGGCCCCGATTCTGAAATGAGCTGTATGTGAGCGGAACCCTGCATCAGTGCAGATCCCGATTGCAAGATGGGGACCTTGAAGCTTATATTAAAAGACTTACTTAACTATGTGACTATTTCCAGCTTGACTTTAATGGGCCTGCTCAGTGCGTAGTGTTATGAACCTAAATAAGTCTTTGGAGGATTTGGGCACTAGTATGTCATTTAAGAGCCAGCAGGTGCCTGGTTGTGGTTTTCAATTGAAGAATTTTTTTTTTTACTTTTCCATATGTTTTAAAGTATGTGTGTAGTGCTCACAACAGATATTTACCTCCTTCTTAAGGGTTGTGTGAGCAATCACTGGATAGTGTTTATCAAGTGCTATGAGTACAAAATATGACTAAGGCCAGCCATTGGCTGAGGCCTCAGCAGTTTCTGTGTTTAATCCACTAGGTCATGCTGCTCACTCCCTTTTCACCGCAGGTTGAAAATTTGCAAGTGTGAATTTTTTATTTTAACTGATTCAGAGTGCAAAATCTGAGAAGTGTCAATTCATCAGAAGTTTTCACACAAATTCTGCAATTCTATGGCAGTTTTGTGAACTTGAAAACAAAGGAAAAACATTTTCTACATGGAATATTTTGCCCAGTTCTACCAACAATAGAAACTTCTTGCTTTTTGACTCCATTCATATTAGATATCCCGAATAAGCAAAACACTTGCAACTACTTTTCAGTAACTAGTGTCATCATACCTCATTATAGTTGAAATGATCAAAATAGCCTAGTAGTGTGGTCAGTGGTGGATTAGCCATTGGGCCAACGGGCCCGTACCCAGGGGCCCTGGCCAATTGGGAGGCCCCAGAAAAATGGGTGTCCCCACACCCCGACCCGCTCTGCCCGCCTGCCCGGCGCTCCTGGTGGGGAGCAGGGTTAAGGCAAGAGGCTTGCTCCACCTGCCCGGTGCTCCAGTCGGGGAGCAGGGTCGGGATGCGGGGCTTGCTCCACCTGCCCGGTGCTCCAGCTGGGGAGCGGGGTATGGGGGCTTGCTCCGCTCAGCCCGCCTGGCACTCCTGTGGAGCGGGTCAAGCCCTCATGCCCCAACCCTGCTCCCCGGCAGGAGTGCCAGGCGAGGGGATGGGGTGGTTCAAGCCCTGACCCCATTTCCCCAGCGGGAGCGTGGGTGCGGGAGGGACTGCAGGTGGAAGGGGTTCAGAGGGGCCCCCATTTACTCTGGTCCAGGACCCCACAAAACCATAATCCGCCCTTCTCTCAGTGAAAACTCCCATCTACTTTGTTGAGCACTTTCGCTGAGAGAGGACTGCAGGATTTGACCCACAGTGTGTCAAAAACGGTGTTGGATTGACAGGGAAGAATATTACTATTATTTATTGGAATTGCAGTAGTATCTAGGAGCCCCAGTCATGGACCAGGATCCCATTGTGTTAGGCACTGTACAAACAGAAAAAAAAGAAGTTCTCATAGTTTATCACAGTCTATCCCTAAGCCTAGTCTTGCCCCTTTTGAAGCCAAGGGGAGAACTCCACTTGAGTAGAATGGGGGTAAGACTGAATCGGCTATGCAGAATTTTTAAATAGTGAAATTATAAATCTAAATAAAAACAAAGTGAGGACAGAATTTGATATGCATGGCCTGTAGACGTCTGCTCTGGGCCCTGCGCTTTGGGGGGCTCCGCGGGTCGGTGCGATTGGCTGGTGCGGTCGGTCCCAGAAGAGATGAATCCGTCACTTCCGCCCTGGGTCCCCTCACTCCGGGCCCCACGCTTTGGGGGGCTCCGCAGGCCGATGTAATTGGCTGGCTTGGTTGGTCCCAGAAGAGACAAATCCATCACTTCCGCCCCGGCCTGCACCCCCTAGGGACAGCCCTGCCTGTACGGTAGTTTACCAAACACTCAGGCACAATTATTTGTTTTTATGTAGATATTCCTCCCAGCTGCAGTGTTCATTGGACTAGAACACGATAATTGCTGTGGATGCTGCGGGCATGAGAACTGTGGGAAAAGCTGTGCAGTAAGTGAGCTTTTTGCTTAATCATTTTTGGATGGTCCCTCAGCGGGAATGGTCAGAATGCTGAGAATCACTTGTGTGTTTACTCTGCAGATGCTGTCCTCTGTTCTGGCCGCCTTCATCGGAATCCTGGGGTCCGGCTACTGTTTCATCATTTCAGCTTTAGGTTTATCCCATGGCCCTTACTGCCTCTCTGCTGTAGAACAGAACTGGGTCTATCCTTTCACTAACGCCAGTGGAGGGTGAGTAGTCTGTTTACCAGCAAGCTGTGCACTGCAGTATATAAACACCATGGACTTGATACCCTCCTATAAAACACAGTAAGCAGTAATTACACTGACACAGGTTTGCACTGGTGTAAAATGAGAGGAGAAACTGTCCCATTATTTGCTCCTTACTCAGATGAGTAGTCCCATTGTTTCCATAGGACTACTCACATGAATAAGGACTGCCTTTTGGACCCGAAACTAGTCAAGAGGGAGAAAGGCTGTTGATCTTTATAGAAACTAATGGATCTACTGTATTTTCATTTTGGGGGCCTAATCATCTTCTGTACAGCTGAGGAGCAAGATCATAAGGGGTGTCAAGCATCTGCAACTCTCACTAAAGTTTCAAGAGGCGTCAGCACCTGTGAAATCAGGACCAGTGTGTGGTCACTAAGTTATTTGTGTTTGCAATAAACTGTTTGTTTCCAAACAGCACACACCCTCTCTTCCTCTCCAGCTCTCACCCTGCCTCACCACCTAATTGGCTCATAGATTATTCCCCCTCCAGCAAAGCTGATGGGTACCCTCAGGCTGAAAGAGAATTTTCAAGACCATGTAAACTGGGATTCACAACTATCCCAAGCTTTACAAAATGACTGCCAAAGCGGCATCATTCCTTATCATAGGAAACACTCTGCGTGACAGGCCTCTGGATATGGCCCTTTTTAGCCACGATAGCCTGGAAATATTTCTCAAGCAGCCCAGCAACCGTTCCCTAGCATTCTGCAGGTGGTCATCATAGTGCTTCTTTCAGAAGCTGCATTTATCATCAGAGACCCCTAGTGTTTCAGTATGAATGACAACCTCCTTCCCAGGGACTGTGAGCATCACCCATGTAACTCTCCTGTCTACGCAACTGTGGGAGATCCACAAACCAAATTCTGATTCCCACCCCTTCCCCTACCCCGTCCTGTGGAAATCAATGACAGACGACACAGTTTTAGGACTTTATTAACAATCAGTTTAAAAAAAGGGAGACCAGAAACACATTATCCTGATGATCCTATACATTTTGAATGCTTAAGATTCTGAAGCATATTGAGAAACCATGTGTCATGGAGGGTGATTAATAGTAGGGTTATTAGAGTTAAGAAGCAAGATGCAGAAGCCACATATCAAAGATCTTTAAATTAGTTTAGAACATCTTGGTTTGGGAGCATTTCCAACTCAATGTGGTAGAATTTACCCAGCTGTTGCAGTTGATACCAAGGTATGTTCCCAAGCTTAAACCCTGGACTTTACACACAGTGCATGTAAAACAAATTATTTCTGAAGGTACCCTCAATATAAAAAGTGTGACCAGATATAAATTCGCACAATAGAACTATTTGGTGTGCCCAAAAGCCCCTAGATTTCCCTAGTTTGGGATTCTCCTTTTGTGGAGTGAGTCCCCATGAAACATAGAGTTGGCATAGCTGAGTCCTACATCACTTCCAAGTCAGCCCCCATGTAAGGGGCATAGTAAGTGTGTGGAGTGCATGCATGGTCAGAGCACGATGTACTCCAGCAATATCTTACTGGTGGGTAGCCCCTTGAGGCCTGTTTCCAGAGCAGTGCATGTCTGGTGCCAGAGCAGAGCTGGCTGGCCTGAGAATCAGGAAGCCGCACCTACATTCCACTGGCCCCCTGAAGCAGAGAATCTGATTTGAACACATCTGGCTATTGTTTGTCATGATGGTTTCTTTAACTTTCACTGGCACAGAAAGGAGAAGAGTAATTTTTTGCTGAATACTCTGATCAGATGGTTGGGCAGGAGCTGCAGGCATTTACTTTTAGGACACAGTGAGTTAATCCTGTGGTCAGAGCAGTTCAAGGGCGTTTGCAGATACCAAGCAGAGTGTCTCATGTAAGACGGTAACAAATGGAGAGCAAAGTTCCCTTTGGATGCAATCACTATCTTAAAATAAGGGCCAGATCCTGCAAGGTTCTGAGCCCCATCTGAGAAGTGTTCAGTGCGCTCAGCTCATTCAAAAGGCTGCGCATCATTTAAGTCCCTTTGTGGCGGGACAACGACTCACCGGCATGGCGCCTCTTGCTGGTTGTCCAGGGAATTAGCTCCTTCCAGCCCGGAGCGCCCTCTGTAGGCTGGTGTCACGCCTGCCGCTGGCCCCCATGTCTCTCCTGGACCCCGGTGCCCTTTGTCCAGGGGTTCTGCCCACCGCAGTACCCCCTTACTCTGGGTCTCCCCTCCCAGGGGAAACCCCAACCCCCTATCCCTACCTTACTTCAGTGGCTACTGCCAGTCTCCATTTAGCCCCCGCTCACTGGGGCAGATGACAGTCTGTTAACCACTCATCATTGGCAAGGGGGGGTTGGACTAGCTGCCTCTGCCTATCTATGGGCTGCCCCTCTGCAGCCCCAGTACTCTTTTGTGGGCCCTTAACTCGGCCTGCAGCCTGGAGCTTTGCTAGGCTGGAGTTCCCCAGCTCCCTCTGCCCTTCCCCAGCACTGCTCCACCCTAGGTACCCTCCTCAGCTTCTCAGGCAGCCAGGTCCTTCTCTCTCTAGGAAGTGTCTCTGTTTCTTTCTGGCCCACCGCCCTCTTACAAGGGCCAGCTGGGCCCTGATTGCACTGGCTGCAGCTGTGGCTGCTTTCCCTATCAGCCGAGCTTTTCCCCTGCCACAGCCCTCTCCCAGGGCTGTTTTAAGCTCAGGGCAGGAGCGGGGTAACCACCCCACTACACCCTTGCAAAAGGGCAACCTCCAGCATGCTGTGTTCTACACCAATTCCATCCTAGCCCTCATCCTAGCAGCCATTCCTAGGAGAAAAAGGGCCAGGGCCTGGCCATGGCCAGGCATAACTTAGAGCAGCCCAGTGACTGCTCTAAATTATGCTGGGGACCAGGTCACTCCATCTGACTCTGGAATTGGGGAGAATAAAAAGGTGTGTTAACGCTACCTCTGTCCCCTACAACCCTGTGCCTGCCCTCTATTTATACTTAAAAACAAAATCAAGGCTAGGTTTATCAAAAGTCTATACCTAATAACTGCTCTTGCATTCTAGCGTGTCAGGGAGTTTTGCATGAAGCAAACCTTTGCTTCCCTCATCCTCACTTACAAGGTTAGTAGTATCTGAATTAGGTCCACATATTGCAACTGCTCTCTTGATATACATTAAATACCAGGGAGTGACACGCTTCACTGAATCATGAGTTTCTAATACATTTTTAATTGATATGAACAGGTATCTGCTTGAGCGTGACAGGTGGTCTGAGTGTCGGGAGCCAAGGAATATCGTGGAATGGAACTTGACCCTCTTTTCCATTCTTCTGGTCTTGGGGGGGATTGAATTAATTCTGTGTTCCATCCAAGTAATCAACGGTTTTCTCGGAGGAATATGTGGGGTTTGCTGTAATCGGGAAGAGGTAAGTGCATCTATTCAAGGGATCATTTGATTACAACCACACTTCCCAGATAATAAAAAGCATATAGCCTAATGTATTATCCAGTAACTAAAGTACATCAGGGTCTAATCCAGGAGAACATTCAGTTCCATTATTTCCCTGTCATGGCTCCTCTTCTGAAGCTCAGGTTCAGTAAGTGAGCTTTGAGCCACATTGTTCACAAACACCCTGGGGCATTTGACTGTAATACAATGGGAGTGATTTTGGGCAAATGATCAGCTACATGCAAGGAATTAGATATGCACATGAGAAGGAAATCTCCTTTTCTACCTTTTGAAATTATTGGTCACCTTAGCCATGCAGGGAATAAGGTATATGCTTCAGGCACGAAGTAAGTCTTGTGGTAAGGAAGAAATTCTCTGTCCTAATCTCCTACCCTGCCCCCATTTTACAACATTACACAATTGTATGATAGGTTTGCGGCTTAGTTTGTTTTTGACCTTTCACTGAAACATCTGCAAAACTGCCAAACTGATTTCAGTGGGAGCAATATATGGCCAACTGAGGATGCCAGACAAGCAGGTCTATAGTCTGCTGCGCTAGGTTCACTCAAGTATCCTGGAAACACCCACTCTCCCTGGCATCCACTCGGTCTTTATTCCCTCACTGTGCCTCTCCGTCCTCCATAGCTTTTATTCTTTTGTGAAAGGAAAAAGCTGGCATCTTTTACAATGAAAAAGATCAAAGTTCTCAAAAACAAAAGAAATCGTGTACAGAATGATGGTAAAACTTGATTGCCCTTAAAATGCAACAAAAGCCATAATGATGTCTGCTCAAAGATGTTTCAAAAGGCATTCTTTATGCAGATATTTAAAATGTTTTTTTGGAGAAGATGTTTCATGTTTATTGCACACAGCTTTAATCATGGATAATATTGACATGGTAGATTATGATGGCACCTTCGAAGCTGTTGTCTCTGTCTCACTCCTCCTCCCCACCATGATCTAACTGGGGACATTGAGACATATTTCTGGTTCTGTCATAAATGGATTTTTGAGGATTAGAGGGCATGGAAATAGATCCACAAGCTGAATACACATTATACAGCCTATTGACTTTACTTTGTACAATGATCTATTGGGTTAACAAAAGGGATAGCTCAGTGGTTTGAGCATTAGCCTGCTAAGCCCAGGGTTATGAGCTCAATCCTTGAGAGGGCCGGTTAGGGATCTGGGGCAAAATCAGTACTTGGTCCTGCTAGTGAAGGCAGGGGGCTAGACTTGATGACCTTTCAAGGTCTCTTCTAGTTCTAGGAGATGGGATATTTCCATTAATTTATTTATAACAAAGTATGTGATTCTGTGATTTTGTTCTCCCTCATTTAACACATATTCTTTTTCTCCCCCCACAGAAATACGTTTGCTAGAACATCTGCACCTGAAAATGGGCTAAAATCACTGTAATTATATCTTTGTGGTATTCTGTAAAACATGTATTTGAATGTCTTATTTTGTATTGCACATACTGTAAATTATAAAGAACAATTTATTCATGTTACATTTCTTCTTGCCAAACTATGCACTGTCACTATTAATTCACAGATTGGGCCAGGTTCTGTTCTTGGAAAGATGTGCAGGATTCCCAAAGAACACAATAGTCATTATGTGTTTGCACCTGACAGCAGAATTTGGCCTACTGTGATTTTTGTCATAAACATATACCTAGCATACAAGGATTTCATTGGTTTATTTAAACATAATGCAAGTAACTGGGTACAGTGTCTCACCACAGGCATGGTAGTTCTTGATTTTCATACGGAACCTGCTTTTTCCATTAGAGTTCCATTGCCATCCTGACCTTGAAGCCCCCAGTAGGAGCTGTCACTCACAGAAGGAAGGCTGCTTTAATTGGGTCAAACCAAATACCACGAATACCATGTTTTTGGTATTCATCTAGTCTAACAGAAAATACAGATGGTGCCAAATAATGGACAGACAAGGGTAGGCACATTCTGAGGAGCCCTATCTCCCCAGGAAAGACGTGGAGATAGAACAGTAGGGAAAAAAGACAAGTCTGAAGAAAGGAAAATGGGGAGTTGGGAGGGGAGTAGTAACTTGGATTGTTTCAAACTTCTTTCCCTCTCTATTTGACAATAAAATAGAATATATACACCCACCAGCTGTCAGTGTTTTCTTTCCGGTCCAGAGTTCTATTGCTCCTATAGCTTTGCTGCCTTTTAGCCTCTCCTCCGCCCACCCCCATATCTCCCCAACCCCTCTGCCTTCTTTTGCTGTTTTGTTTCTCTTGATCATGTCTACATGGGAATTTTTTTTGTATAAGCTAAGGTGTGTATTTAAAGTGCTTTAATTATAACCCTCTGTGGCCACTCTTAGTTCAGCATAACAGTGGCTTGTTGTAGTTAAGCTTGTATTACTTGGGAAGGGGTTTAACCTAATCTGCAAAAAGTCACTCTTATACTAGAAGAAGAGTGTCCACATGGGGTTATAAAGGTAGAGCTATAGTGGTCAAACTTTTTCCTATGTACATAAGGCCTTAGCTCTTCTGCGATCTCACCATTTCTTTCCTCGACTCTTCACTGTTGGGAAGGATCGGAGCACTTACCTTCCTCTCCAGCTGGGAGGAAGATGCAACTTCCAGTCCCTTCCATTCCCTGATTATTGCTGGTAGATAAATAGGTTCTTTCTGCCTCTCTTCTGCAATGTCATAAATCCACCACTGGTAGTACCAATGGAGCACAAGTGTAGATAGGCTGCCATTGGTCACCAGCATTTAACTACCATGTTGTCTAAGCCTGATCTGAGCAAGTTTAGACACATGATGGTTAAAATGCCTGAAAGATGTTTACACTAGAGCTTCCACCATTGCTACCACCAGTGTGGCTGCATTAGGGGTAATGTAACAATGAGAGACTGAGGAAAAATGCTGGAGAACCTGGAATGCAGCTAGGGGAAGGAGGTGTAGAACCAAGATCTGACCTGCAACATGTTTTTGTACAAACAAACCTATTTACTAGGAAAAGTTCTGGTGCAAACTTCTCAACCCAAGAACTGCAGGTGAGCATTAGCAAGTCCCTGCAGGAATCTGAGTATAATTTTAAAAAGATAAATAACCCTGTGACACATAACCATGCTGATGTATCCTGTCTGCCTCAAACCAGTCCTGTGATTCTCTCAGAAGAGAAGATCATCATGCAGCATGAATAAACTCCAAACACTATGTGATAATTTGGCATCATCTGACCTCATAGATGTAAATAGTGAGCAAAATGGAGACAGCTTTCGTCCAACATCATGTGTGAGAAGCTCTGTCACAGTTCAGGGAAATGCACCTGTATTCTCCCTCTGTGGTTCACCAAGGGCACCTGCTTTAGGATTCTGGTCCCAGCTATAACCTCGCTTGGGCAGAGACCAGCATCTCTTTCCATTCTGTCCAGGGATTTAAGGCTTCACAGCTCCATGAACAACACTGAGATATCCCCAGCAAGCCAGACTGCCTAAAAAGGCCAACACTTGCATTTTTCTGTCTCTCTGCAGGCTCTGACCAGTCTAATGGTGGCAGTTATAAATTACCTCACAGCACCTTGTAAGCAAGCATATTTATTCTTAAGGTAGAAGCATAACAGAGGACGTCCTAAAACAATAAAGCTAGAAACCTTACTGGAAGTCACCCCAACTCCAAACTAGGGCTCTGGTAGGTTTTACTCCTTCAAAACCCACAACTGGGTTTTCCTGGAGTAACAAGTGCATCTGTCTCAGAACCAGAAGAATGGCTGGGCAGGTCAGCCATTTCTTTATACAGCTTGGGCCTTTGACCTTGGCCCCTGTAATAGATATTCAGCAGCCACTAACCCTCATCTCAGAGCATAGCTTCAAACAGCTTAATTTTAGCATAATTGGAGTTGGTGACTTTGAATTAACCCTTCCCTAGGGATTTCCAGGAAATCCATTTCACACTTGTTGTCCCAAAGGTCCCATACGTGTCTGGCACATATTCTATATAGTCTTTTGAATTCCCAGGTCTCACATCTGTCACATTTCCCCTGTAGAGAGCTTGTATACACAATCCCGGCCCTCAATAATACATAAACTTAATTCAATAAGGTCTTTCAGGGATGTTGCAATAAATGCTCTATCTGTCAGACCTTCAAGATATGGTTTACAGCATATAATGAATATCATCTCGGAAGGAAAAGTCACATTGATGTGCCCCAAGCTAGTAATGAATTGGCACAAGGTGGTGCCATTCCACAGCTGAAAAGCTGGTATGCACCTTGCCTCTTAGAAGTAAGAGATTCAAGCCAAAAATGCTGGCCACCATTATTCACTTTGGAACCTAGCAAAGGTGTTACAAGTCATTTGACTTGTGTGTGTGACATTCTTGGAAAGGATATTTCAGAGCCATGGATAATCCTGGGGATTATTCATTGCATTGCTACAGTCTTTCCACAGAGACAGAAATGTACATTATATAATGAAGGGTTAAAATGAGTAGAAACATTACTAGCCTAACAAACCAAATTGGTGAGCGCTTAACTAGACAGAAGAGGGGATTACTAGATACCCTTGTAGGATGGTTTGGTGCAGGTAATTCTGTTGGCAACACCTATACCATAGCACGCCAAGCTGAGAGGAGGGACCGGCTGGAATCAAGGTTGGCTGACGCTGTAATTTCTAATGCCCGGGGAGGACTGGATACTACTAAGGCCAGTCGATTGATCCTAGATAGCTTAAAGGATCTGTCAAACTCTGTATCCACCTCATTAGATATAACAAAATACCTGGGTCAAGAAGTCACCAGCCTGCTAATAAATGGGACTAAAATAAAGGCACTGGAGGAAAGTTGTTGGAGAGCAGGACAAACTTTGGCTATCTCCTTGATGGCCGGGTCCATCCAGCCCTTATGGAAGTGGTGGGACCCTATCTCCCCAGTACCCCTCCATGGGCATGGGGAAACAGAGAATCAATGAGAGTCCAAAGACCAGTTTGGACAGGTAACAGTATACTCTTTAGCCTTCTGGTACCTTTAGGCATCCCTCATTTACAGCAAGCCAGGATGGTGACCTCCCTGCCAGTATGGAGAAGGGGTCATGTTATTAAAATAGAAGGCGTTGCATACGCTGAGGTCGCTGGGAGAGCATTGTATCCTAGTGAATGTTGCACCCATTCTGATAAGGAAATTCTGTGTACATGTCCATATAATGTTCTAACGAATCTGTCTAGATTCGAAGTGGCCATTACTGAGAAACTGGCGCACACGGAGCTGGTCCAGATGAACGGTACCTACTGGTGTGTGACTGCCCAGAACCACTCCATCGAGCTAAATGAAAAGCCCTGCCCCTCAAGACATCCATCCGTGTGCATGACGGTCCCCTGAAGGTCAACCCTGACTGTTGACGGGACGCGGCTCCACCATACTCCGCCAATAATGGGTAACCTAACATGGGATCCGGAATGGCACTATGGCAGTAAGTATCTAGAGGAGGGTCTACAGGCCCTGCAGGCGAAGATCGAGGAGTTGGTGGCCGAGGCCCAAAGGCATATTGGGCAAGGCCGTCTGAGGTACACTCAGATAGGGGAAACCGTGGACCAGGCCGATGTGAAGTACTCAAAGGCAAGGAACCAGGCAGTGGAGGTTAAAGCAATGATTAGGGGTGATGCCATCTCAGGTGACAAGGTCCCCTGGGGATGGATCTGGGTGCTATTTTGTCAAGTTATGTGAAGAGTGTCTATCCTAACATTCTTGATGGTACTGGTGCTTTATCGGCGACTCCACAGTAGGCTGGGTACATTAAAATTGGTATATTTGACCTGGCGGGTTAGGAAACCCTAGGGTCAAGAGGAGGGACTGAAGGGTTAAAATCCATGTGCATGTTATATAACAACCTGGTATATGGATTGTGCCAGCTCTTTTCCAGACCCAAAGTCCAGAGTTTGGTTAAGAGACCAGAGGCCTAGCTAATAGTGATTAGCTAAGAGAAAAGCAGAATAAACAAGATAACACTGCCTTTGCTAAGATATGCTTGGTCAGTAGAAATGCCAGATGTTGAGGCAATAACTGAATAATTATGTTTCATCCAATGTTTCAAATTGAACAAAGGATCCCTTTTCCTATTGTGTTTCTCCTGAAGGGAAAACAGTCTTCCCACAGATCCAACCTTGAGTTTATGAAAAATTGGCACATGTCACTATAATGATATAATGATCCTTCCACCTCCCTTCCAAGGGACCAATGCCCTGCCTTAAGACATAAAGGAGACAATCTCTATTTCCATATGCTTTCACTGTTTCTTTGCTTTATCCCCTAGACATGTACCTGTCGGACAATCAAAGGAGTTGCTCCGTTCCTATGGACCCCAAATCAGAATTCAACATATATATTTTATACTAATAACATTTTATCAAAGTATTAATCAAATGTTAACTTGCTAACTTGAGACCATGGGCGGAGACATTGTGTAACCTTTTAACCATTGGCTATTGTGCTATCTTGTCTTGCTGCAAAACCTATCCCGGGGTGTGGAACTGCCTACCCCGTCACCTTCCCCCGCCCATAAAAAATCTATATATTCTATTGTAATCAATTGATTGACAGTGTCTCTGAGCCTAATAAGCCAGGTGACACTCCACCAGCGGTGTGTGTAATAAACCCCTATGCTTTGACCTCTACACGGTGTGGATTTATATCCTTCATATAATAGTACTCCAAGCGAGGAAGA